TACAAGCGCTTCCTGGGAAAGCACATTTCCTCCCTCCAGCTGAATTAATTGCACACTCTTATCCCAATGACTCTCAAAATCGTATCCCTTGCCTCCCAAGCTTACTATATTCCTAAGCCTCTACCCTCTCCACCAGGATGCCTGAGTAAAACTCAAATTTTCCCTATTCTTCAGATTTTTCCCTCTTTGTTTGTCATTTACTTTCACTGTTTACATTACCCTATCAAGTTGACAAACCAGGACATTCACCATCCTTTCTTACTCCATAAATACAAAACAGATTGGGGTCTTTCTTGCATCAGACCTGTACTGTTACTCAACTTTTTATATATGCACTAGCTCTCTAACTAGAACAGGGACCTCACCTTTGCAGCCTCATATTAACTACTCCCCCAAAAGCTGTTATTGTGCAATGCTTCCCTTCATCTCACTTATAGAATCTATAGTAGGGATTGAAATGCAGAGTTCAGTATAGAAAACACTATTCTCACAATGGCTAACTGAACATAATAAAAAAAGAAAACACTATTCTCTTCCATTAATTTAATCAGCATATATCATCTAAGTACAGGCTATTGTAGGAAATCCTGAGACGAGATCACTTGGATCCTGGCATCACTAGGCAATTATTGATTCCTATTTTGCCGATGAGGATACCAAGACTCAGAGATGGGGATGCTGACACTTCCTTGGTAGAGGCCAAGTTCTGAAATCTGGGAAAGCAAGCCTATAACTCCTTAATCCTTGCAATCTGGCTTCTATTCCTATCTGGCAAAGCTGCTTTTGCTAAGTCATCTGCACCATCCAATCGTCAAGTTGTCTTTCACTGTCCAAGCTGGACTCTGCCATACCTTGGTCACACTCTTCTGGGAAACATCCTGCTGCCTTCCCTGAGTTGGCCAGCTCACTTTCTCCCCTTCAGTGGTGTGTTCCTGTCCCACGCCTCTGCCCTGCACCCTCCCTGGTGCTTTAGGGGAATGCTCAACAGCATAGATCTAAATCGCCAGGTCCCCATAACTATCTGCTGGACTTCTTCAACTATTTGTCCCACGGGAGACTCCCAAATTAGTATGTCCAGAAAGGACTCATTTATCCCCTAAACTAATTCTCCTGTAGGTTGGTTTTACTGAAGGATGACTCCTAGACATCAGGGGTGGGTCACACCCTAGACAGTGATGCCAATAGCTGGCAGTGTTTATCCCCCCACGTATCTAGCCCTGCCCTCTCCTCACTGTTCCTCCACCCGAGATCCTCATGTGGGCTCCATGAACACTCAACCCACCTTCTAGAACAGGCTCTTCTAGCTCCTCTCTGAGGACCAAGCCGTCCTGAGTCATTAGGGTGGTGAGGCTGCATCATGTTAGGCCCCCAAGACTGGAGGCATTTGCTGAAATAGTGTACCCTGACTTATTAAGTAGGCAATGAAATAGGAAATGTATTTCAACTTTTAGTTCCATTTCTCTCCCCAACTGGTCAACAACTGGGGTAGGTTTGAATTTAGATATAGTTTAGCCGGGTCCCTCATGCTTCCCTTCAACCATGCCAAATGGGAAAGCGTCTAGGGAGTCCAGGCCTGCTCACTAAGTGATAACTCAAAGCCAGCAAGTTATGTCAGTTGCAAAAAAGTCATGAAAAATTCTGTTTCAAAGGTCAAAGTAACCCCTGAGGGTTAAATTTAAGAAAAAAAACTACTTGTCTGATTGGATTGGAAACTGGAAAGAACTGAAGGAATTCTATTTTCTTCTTGAACAAGATGACATTTCTATCAGCTGGATAAATGTTTTCATGACTGAACTTGTCATTTTCCCATTTGCCACCCCCAGCCTTCCTCCCAAGGTGGGTATATCTAGAGGGCTAGGCAAGGTTTGTACATAAAGGAAATGCCTTAAATAGTTAAAACTTCACACTCTACATATTTATAAATTTAAAACTTTTGGGGAAATTCTCATTTTTTACATTTTTCTAGTGGAATTGAGATGGTATTTAGAGTCTGTTTAATCGCAGTCCCTGAGTTCAACCAAGGCTCAGTCTTTCACTCCTGGGAATTCAAAGAACATCACATTTCTTAAACAGCAGCTGAGATTCTGGAGGTGCAACCTAATGACCTGGGGCTGAAGTAAAATCAACTAAAGCTACACAGGACTTCTGATTATTGAATAGCCTCCCTAAAGTTCATTACTAGAAATTTTTTGTTTGGTAATTCCAATTCTGAAAGATTTGCTTTACTAAAATACACAGCATGAGGAATGAGAGTTTCTAAATGGTAGCGGCCTATTTGGTAAATGATATTTGCTTTGAATACCCAATGATATCTTTATAGATGGAATTAAATTAAAATTAGGGGGAGTAGTTCTTTCATTTTTCTAAACTTGAAACCCTAACCATAATCAGTCATTAAGTATAGTGGAGTTTCCTTACCTACAGTTGAGAAAAGTATTTTCTGTATTAAGGTTAAAATTTTAAAAACATGTAAAGACAAACTCAAGAAAGTTATACTACTACTAATTAACATTTACTAAGCACTTTGGCTATGTTTATTTATCTTGTTTCCACAGTTAGGATGACAACACATATATATTTAAGTGAGGTTTAACAAAAACTCTCAATGCTGCTGCTAGGGAGGAACTGGGCCCGGCTCCATTTGCCTTAGCTTCCAAAGGCTGATTGGCTCTTTCTCTTTCAGAATTCTTATCTTAATGCAGTTAGTAGTGTACCTTCATGATATTGCTTACTTGAAAACAATCCTATGTCAAGGATTTGGAGCCCAAAAGAAGTAGAGCACACCAACTTTTATAAACTTTACATATATTTCTTGGCCTTTATACTATTTCTCTAATAGAGGTCACAAGCGGAAGGTCCTGGGATAAAAGTAACCTACAAATATGTGTGGTTGGGCCTGTGTGCTGTTGCCTTTCACATAAAAAAATTTTAATTATCCTCTAAGATTTAAAAGTTAGGGTATTTCATTTTTGACTTCCATATCCTCTTGAAAAATATGGCAAGCTCATTAACAATAGGCCCAAATTCCCACAGGGCAGCGATGAGCTCAGGAGCTGGCCGGGCCTTGCCACTGGCTCGCCTCTCCCTCCTCGCGGCCCCCACAGACCCAAGCCGAGGTTGTTTGCAGTCCATCATACTGCTCACGCAGTGGTTTGTCTTTCATCCACCTACTTTCATCCACCTCGCATTACTTTACCAGCTAGCTTCCTGGAGGTATTTAAGTTTGCAGCTCCTATCCTTAATTGTAAACATAATAATAGCAGACCCTTCCATGGTGCTTAGTAGGGCCAGACACTGTCCTAAGTGTTTAGCATGCACTAACTCATTTAATCTTCAGAATAACCCTGGAGGGTGAACACTTATTAGCATTCCCATTTTATGGAAAAGGAAACCGAGACATCAAGAAGCCAAGAACTCACCTATGGCAACACACATTTCGTCTATAGGGGTATCTGTCTCACCGGCGGGCCCAGTCTGGAACCTGAGAACCCAACCATTGGGACTTATTTCCACATGTAGTGGAAGGCTCTTCACAAGTACATCAATAGTGTCCTTTCAGTTCTGTCCATATGTCAGGAGGAGAGTGTCTAATGAGTGCTAATTATTTCTTTGAAACACCTAAGAATCAAAATTTTAGGTCCAGATTGGACCTTAGGTAGCCTTTTATTTAAGTCTGTGGCACTTGATTAGACAAGCTGCCCCTTCTGTAAGGCTCTGTTACTTTCTATCAGAAACCGCTATTACAAAATGACACAGGGATGGTTATAAGTCCACCAAAGGTCTTTCTGGTGCTGTGCTGATTGCCTGTGCTGATGGTGCAGTGGTCCCCGATTCCAGAACCTGTCTTATTACTTTTTAAAGTAAGACTTATTTTGTTATTTGTAAGCATATGAAACAAACAAAATGCTTAATAAAAATTACCATAAAGATGTATGGCAAATACCTATCTCTTATTCTACACAACTACCAACCACTAACTTCAACTTTTCATTACCAAGCTAGATTCCTCATTTCATGATTATGACCCAAAAAAAAAAAAAAAAACAGTGCTGATCTTATCTCATATCTCAAAATCCCAAGAATGTTAAGCTATTTCACTCTGCTCAAGAATGGACTTGGAACAGTGAAAGGAGTTCTCTTCCATGGACATGACATAATCTGCAAAAACTTTACCATGGAGAGGTGAACCCTTCAAATCAGCATGTCCTTTCAGTGTTTTTCCTTCTCTTGTGATGTAGGACTTGAAAATTATGATAATAAAAGATCCACACTTCACACATATCATTTAATTTAATCCAAATGTCAATTCAATGGTACAGGTTTATTATCTCCATATTGACAAGGATTTGAACCCAAGTCCATCTGATACCTGTATTATGGTTTATTCTACCATCCCACTACCAACCCATAACACCTCCTAGATGCTGATTAAGTCACTGCTCCAGAAGGTTTCCAAGTACCCAGTGCTCTACTGGACAGGGTCTGCTCTGTTAAACCAACAGTCCTTCAAGGGCCTGAGGTTGACAGCATCACCCACCTGAGCGGCACACGCAATACAAAGCCCGACAATGAACAGAAGAAATGCAAATTGCCAGCACATAATAAGTTGGAAGCACATTACAAAGCTAAATCAGTTCTTTTCAAATGGTACAGACACATGGTGACCTAATTAGGAGTCCAAAGGATTTTGGAGAGGATGAAAGGAATAATCTGAGAATCTATGCAGGAATATTCTTAAGTTGGAGATGAAAATTCTCAACAGTAAGTTCTGGAAGATGTTGGAAAAGATAACAGCACCTAGTGTAAATATATTTATTTCAACTCATCATTGCTCACATTTTCTAGTCTAACAAAGCAGAACCACTGAGTTGTTTGAAACGTGAAAACCCTCTTCCGATTATACAGCAGAGACCGCATCAGGAATCTAGGTTAAAAGAAAAGTGCTCAGTCTCAGTAGAGGGCAATGCAAAAGTGCTGAACGGGAATCTGTGTGAACTTACAGGACTGTGGTCTGCTGCGGCACCTGAGGAATGTGATCCAGCATCAAGTGCATGCAGCGGACGGTGCTCTTCAAGCAAAGGCACCGGCTAGGGCAGGGTAGCACTGGCAGGCACCACACGACCAGAAGAATGCAAGTGGTCCAGCAGAAGAGTCTGGACTCCATCGCTCCACCCGCTGCTGGAAGCGAAGAAGCAGGAGCAGCAGCAGCGGTGGCGGCGGCGGCGGTGGCTGTGGTGCGGGACCTGCCGTGCAGAGGCAGGCCTGCCGTGCGGAGCGGAGCCGGGCTTGGGAGCCCCAGCTAAGCGCAGCTTCCAGGGAAAACTCAGCCTCTGACCAATCCAGGAGCAGAGAGATCACATTACAGGGCGGAGGGTGCCTGCCGCCTCTAGGGGGCGCTGGACTCTCAGGGACGCGGAGAAGCTTGTCCGTGCCAAAGCCGCTTTAGGGAACAAACGTACTCTATTTTTGGGCAGCATAATGCAAATAGAAACTTTTCCAAAGTTGCTTCCACTGCACATATTATGTAAGCGCCAGCCTCTTAGCCCCTAGTTGTCCTTTTTCCTCCCCCTAGCTGTCCTTTTGAAGCGCAAGTTGATTATTTATTGAATCAATGCGGAACAGCCTTTCTTTTTATCTGGCAGTATTACCAAATCCTAAAGGGCAGACAGAGTTCTAATTAGTTGATCTAGGCTCACATTTTCCTTCCCTGCTCCAAAGTATGCTTTCAAAAAATGGTTTCATTTCTTCCTATATATTCTACACCTGAAGCCCAAAGCATTTCACTCATGAGATTCAAACCAGCTACTTCCAATTTCTTCCTTTAATATTTAAAGCTGTTAATGTCTACACCATGAACTCCTATACCAACATGCAGGAGACAAATTGATAGACAAACATATGTGTAAAGTAGAACGAGGGCGAACCACCGCTGGGCTCAGTGGCCGCACCGTTGGCTGTAGATGCATTTTTCACCAGGTTTTACTGGCCATGGGTCACTGAGGTGAGCAGCCCTGAGGACACTGGCAAAAACAGACTCCAACAAATAGGCCTTAAACACGAGTTTTTTGGTCACTCTAGGCAGGTGTTTAGAAAAGGTTTTTGCTTTTAACCTTAAAGCCTAAAATTTCCAAACAAATCTTATCCCTAAACTAGCACTTTAAAAAATGTAAAAGTAATAGAAAAACCAGTTAAAACTTGGGATGGTCCAATGTAGGAAACAATCCCAGATGACCAGACTGGGAGACAAATGTAATGATTGCAGATCTAGTTTTGTCAAACTTTATCAACCTTATGGAGGAAAATAAATTTATTTGCCTTCTTTCCAGTAATTTTTCAGTCCCTTTACATCCTACAGTGGGTGAATAGTGCCCTCTTTTGGCAAAATGTTCACACTCAAATATGTGGGGCTTTATTATTTTATTAAAATACAGAGATTGCAAGAAAAAAAAACTCTACGAACAAGAATAATTTTAAAACAAACCAAGTATGCTTGACAATTGTTCAATGTTTATTTTTTTGTCTAAGTATCGAAATAAACTAAAAAAGCTAATTTCTTCCTTTCAATCCCATGCCTTAAAATTACTGTGCTTTTGCCAATGTTTGTGACTTGGAGGACCTGGATGAGCAAGGCATACAAGTTTGTGCATTGTTTTCAGTTCAAAACATAATACTAGCTTGTACTGATAGAGCATTTTTCCAGGATAGACTATACACTCTCTACTTTAGAAACTTAAGCTGCCATTAAATGAGAAAATTCTACTGATTTCCTCCCGTGAATACAAGGCTAAGAACTGCAAGCAAGGCACAGAGAACCACATGCATGACACAGCCACTATAGACCGTAGATTCTTTCCTAGAATGCCTCAGGACAACTTTCCTGCAGAAAACTATTATTATATATGTTAAGTATTAGAAGCATTTTTTAAAAAATACATTGAGCTGCTAAGTTAAACATGTATACTAGAGTCCAAAAAGGAAGAGAAAATGAGAAGCTAAGAAGGTAGGTAAACACTGAAGCCTGGTTCAGCTTGAGAGTATTTGCTTAACCAAGTAAAATAAAGAGATTTGGGGATAGCATGGTTACAGGAAGAAGAAAAAGCCTTTCCTTAAGTGGAGGGTCTTAACTGGAAAACCTGTATTTTCATCAAGTTCATTAAGGATGAACTAGAAATAATCCACTTTACCACCGTCCCCATTCACCCAGAGAACACAAGGAAAATTGCCTGTTATCAAACTTGCTATGGGGAGGAAGGGAATACAAAAATCTCCCTGCAGATATAATACCCCCAAATTAGCTTCTAAAATAACAATTTACAAAGATACACTAGGTGACCACCAATCCTCCCCAAAAATAGCTATAGGAATATCAAACCAAATGGACTTTGAAGCAAAGAATACAAAGGGGGTTCCCACATAATGTTAAAGGTTCAAATCACCAAGCAGACATAGGGAACCTAAAGTGTAGCATCACTGCATCAAAATATACAAAGGAAAAATTGAAAGACCTATAATGAACTGACATTCTACCATCAAAGTGAGAGATTTTGCTGAAAATCATAAGAGCATACAAAAAAAAGCTTACTTAGACTATATTAGATTTGAATACAATAAAAAAATTTGATTCAAATGACATTTACAGAATAGTATGCTGAACAGTATATTCTTTCGAAGCACACCAAGCCATTTATTAAACATGACTATACATGGGCAATAAAACAAGAAATAAGGTTACTCCTGTTCGTGGCTTCTATTCAACACTGTACTGGAGGTCCCAACCAGCATATCTGGCAAAATAAAAACAAACCCCAAGGAAACCCAAAGGAAACCCAAGGAAACCCAAAGGAAATAATAAACTGTCTTTATAAAGATGATTTGGTTGTCTATTTGAAAATTGAGAACAATCACAAGTCAGTGGGATTTAAGTAATGTACAAAAATCAATAATGGAGCAAAGTGATTTTAACAAACAATACAACAGCATTGAAAAATATAAAATATCTACACATAAATCAAAAGATGCTTGAAACAAAATTGTGTACCTTCATTAAGACATTAAATAAATAAATGGAGAGAAGTACCCTATTCATGGATTGAAGGACTCCATATCATAAACATGTTAATTCTCACACAAACTGATCTATAAATTCAGTGATTCCAAAGGAAGTCCCAAGAGGACTGTGTATATGTAATCTAAGAAGCTGATTCTAAACTGTGTATCAAAGTCAATGGTCCAAGGATAGCCAAGAAATTACTGAAATTTAAGTTGAAGGGACTTATCTTACTAAATCAAGAAATACTGTATCTATAGTAAATAAGGCTGGGTAGTTTTAGTACAGGGATCCATAAACTGACTAACAAAATAGAAAAGAAAACCTAGACACAAAGCATAAATACGAAAATTTATAACAGTTAACTGCAGATCAGAGGAAGAAAATGGGACTTTTCAAAAAATGGTGTTGAAACAGTTGATCAAAAAGTAAAAAAGTATTATTTCTCACTTTACACAAAGATCAATAGCAGGTGTACTACAGACTTAAATGTGAAAGACAAAAATCTTAGTACTTTTGTAAGAAAATATAGGCTAATATTTTCATGATTCTGGGTTGAGGTTGTATGAGGATGAATCTGACACAAATTTGAAAATTCTAATTCGAGAAAGATACCACAAACAGAATGAGAACAGAAACCACAAACTAATGAAAGATACTTGCAATACATGTAAATGACAATGGGTCAGGCTACATAAGGAACTCTACAAGCCAACTTCTTTAAAAGAAACTACTGAATAAAACATTTCCAAAAGACTCTAATGGGAACTCTACAGAAAGGAAACCTAAAACCAAGAAACACTCAAAAAGGTACAAAACCTCCTTAATAAGAAACAAAGCCTCTATAACACTTCACACTACTAAATAGGCAAAACTGCTATCAAATGTAGGTGAGATTATGGAATAACTGGAATGTTTAAACACTATAGGAAGGAACATAATGTTATACTATTTTGGGGAAATAAATCTGCACCACCTAGTGAAAGTGAGTATGAACGTATTCTATGATCCAGTAATTCTACTCCTAGATGTACACTCTATGAAGACTCTTGCACACATACAGTCACAAGACCTGTTGAAGAATATTGATGAGCAAACCATTTGATGTAACAACAAATGTCCATCAACAGTAGGATGAATAATTAAACCGAGTTGCGGATGTAACTTAACTATATACAACATGGAACAATCTCAGAAAGACAACCTGGAGTGAAAAAAGTAACCTGCAGAATACAGAGTATGATTCCAGTTTATAAAGTTAAGTATGTATGAAGCCAAATGATACATTGTTTAGAGATACAAACATATGTGCTAAAGCTACAGAAAAAGGCAAGGTTGCGATAAACACAAAAGGAACACCCCAGAGAGGAATTAAGAGGAGATTAGGAAGGGGCACACAAGTCAAAATCTAGTAGTAGGTACACACATGTACGTACAGGTACACTGAATTATTCCTTGTGTTTTGCATATGTCTTCTAAATATCCTTCATCTATACTGAATATAAAAACAAATTTAAAAAACGAAACCTACACTGCTTTAGAGGTGGCAACAGTCAAAAGGAAATGAGATGTCCAATTATGGACAACTGTATATAATACTTCAAGCATATATCCATGGGTGTATTAAGATTTTCTAAATTAAAAAGAAGAAAAAAAGAAAGCCAGGCCACTGGAGAACAAAATTTAATTATATGCAACTGTTTATTTAAAATAGTTTTCCAAGCCTTCCCATGATTTCACAGGTGTTGCTTCACTTTTATCCTCTCAAACAGCTAGAAACCAACACTTAACATTTTTTGTATTTTAACCATTATATATGCTATTTTAATGACATTTTTCTTTACTAAGACTAGAACCAAATGTGTCAACCAATAAGAGATGTAGATTTAAATTATCTTCTTGGTAGTAACGGTGCCGCTGAAGGTTCCTTGGATTTATCAGATGCTGGACGCTATTTCAAGCCATTTCCATCTAGCTGTCTGACTTAGGAAAATCATGCTATCTCCCCAGCCCTACTTTCTCTCTGTAAAATAAAATAAAATAAAAACTAGATTAGATTATTTCTATTGTTTTATCTGGCTGCTAAAATTCCATGAATATATTCCTCATCATTTTCAATTAATTTTACTTAACGTTTATTTGCTACTTTTCCACTTATAAAGCATAATTGACCATCCTCAAGTAACTGTGAATTCATTAAAATATAAACACAAACACAAAAGATTCTTAATCATTCTAATATATTCCCATTAATAGATAAAAGGGCTTTTCACTTGAACTTTCATTTTTTATTTCTACTTCTTTATTTAAAGTCAATAATAAAGTCACAACTGTAAAATGAATGAATTGCATTTAAAAACACAAGATACATTTCAATGACAAAAAATATGTAATGATCATGAAAATCTACTGTACACTTTACTAAGGTCAACAGAATAAGAGACCATATGAACAAGTCAATCTTCAAATATATCCTTAACAAAAACTCTCTTTTGAACGGTAAAATCATCAATTAAGAATATGTATGTTTACATAACTGGACACTAGCTCCAAAACCAACAAAGTGTGTAGAGGGCAGCCAGGGGAAGGGTGCTAGATAAAAATATGTGGGCATTGGGAACTTGATATTAAACCTCTAAAACTAACAATTTTAAATAAAATGAACATTCTTAACAAGTGACAACTGTATAAAACTATTTTTTTTCCCTTGATAGAAATGAGATGGGACATTTCTTAACAGTAACAGCTTAGTAATCATCTAAAAAAAAAAAAATTGTGGAGATATACACAACTCCAAACCCTAGCCCCTAACCCCAGTCCCTGGTATAAAATAAATAACTTCCATGAAATTATCTTTCCCATTACTAAAATATCCTCATTTACTTGGGAGAATTCATACTTAGAATATTTCAAACACTTGTTTTTAAATATGTAGAATCACCAGATCTGAGATTTTTGAAACCATCTATGTATTACTAATAGCTGAATCTTTCAAGAGATAATAATTTTTACTATATACATTAATTGGATTTCCTTAAACATATTTGATCAACTACTGCAATTGTGATGCTGGTGGTAGTGATACTCTCAAATTTTTCCTTTTAAAAAGTACATAATCCATGTGACACTAAGTAGCAAATATGTTACACTATGTACTTTCTTAACAAGGAATGACTGTTTTCAGGTCCTAGTAGGAAGAAAAGAAACCAACAATGGCATTTACTACCTGTTTTATCACTGATAAGCTATAACTAATAGTCAAATGATGGATAGTGTAAGTATATGATATTAAGAAAAAAGTGAAAATCATTATAATTTTACCAAAAAAAAAACAAAAAACGAAAAACCACACACACCATGAGAAGTTAAATAAGCACAACATAGGTCCCGAAGATTATACTATGATTCTGAACACAATTTTCAAAGCAAAAAGGCATCTACATACAATTCCTGTGACTATCTCATACGCTACATAAAGATGAATTTCAAAGTAAATGTAGGTTAGCTCAGTTCCACTTTGTCAAAGACAAATATTTAAATGAACCAGGAGTTCCATTTGCTAAAGTGCACCTGCTGACCAAATCTGCTCTGGTCCTGCCTCTGAGCACAACTCAAGAAAAAGGCTGTTACCCATGTTTACTCCCTGTCTGTGCTGTCGACAGTCATTCAGAACAATGGATATTCTTTTTTAAACCTAAATACTTTATACAGTGGATAACAGAAAAACCAATCCTAAATGTACTATCTTCTAAAACTCCAGCAAGGAAGATAACCTCATTATTTTTAAATACTGAAAATGTAAAGGGTCCACACAAATTAAGAACTGTATTAGGTATATTAATTTTTATTTAATACTCACTTGATGTGCTCTTAAAATCTCTATGAGAGAAGCAGATAGTTTCCCCTGTCTTTTGGCAATAGATTCAAAAGCAAAAGTAGCAGTGCTGTTGAATTCCATAAAACTTTTTTTTTTAAAGCTAAATTATTCAGTATCTGTATTGTTATTGCACTCATATATTGCCCGGAATACTATAGCAACTCAGTAATAATGATTGCAACAAAGTAAGGTAAGTGGGTCTACACAGCATTTGATCTTCTAATTAGGTAAGAAAGTTTTCATAGAGGAAATGCAAACAACTACAATTCAAAAATCAGTATATGCTTAACAATTACTTAACCTTATACAAAATTAAATGTAAGCCTCACCACTACAAATCTGTAAGGAATCAGAAAAGGATTTACAGTACACAAATCTTGAGTATTGTTGCATTCCACTCTTGAAGTCACTCTGAGTTAAAACAGCATTTTTTCCAAGATTTAAAGAAAAATATATTTTATAAAAGGGATTCTTTTTAATTACTGAATACGTCATTTTTTATTACTAAGACAGAAACAAGTTATACTTTTTCCACTATAATTCGCTCTGATGAAAGAATTCTCTTTTAACTCCTAACAAATGCTACATTTTCAAGACTAAAGGAATAATCAGTAGGCATTCTTTCTTCTTGATCTAAGTTACTTTTCTCTAAAATATGTCAAGTAAGCCTTTAAAGATTCAGGGAGGGGGAGTTTCATGATTTTTTCTCTCAGTAAATTCTGAGGTGGCTCCTCGGGCTTCATGGCTTCACCGTGATCTTTCTCTTCCTCTTCTTTGTTATCTTCTTCCATTTTTTCATCCTCCTCACTGTCTAGAGGCTGAGGAATAAGCTGATTACCCACAAATACGTAAGTATTAATTCTCTGTTTAACCCTCTTTCTTTTCCTTTTTGGTGGAGCCCTCTGAGGAATCCCCTTGGCCTGCATCTCATCATTTATGAAATTTCTAAGTGTACGTCGAATATAAATACGAGCCAAGTCCTGGAGATTCCTGACAGCACAGGGGGCTAAAAAAACAAAAACAAAAACAAAACACACACACATAAAACATAAAAAAGTAAAACATCATATATTGCTCATTTCTTCGCAGAACAAGTATTTCTTAGCAAACGTTAGAAAACACAGAAAGTATAAAAACTCTGACTTTCATCTAACAAAGATTTCAAGATGCTTACTATTTGCCAAGCCACCATTCTAAATTCTGTGGACAGTGGAAAGTTTTCTATGTACAGATATGTGTGTCCCCATATATATGCATAAAAATTCTTTGAAAGAATAAGAACGAACTTAGAAACAGGTTACATGAGAATGAAGTAGTTAGACAAAAAGAATAAAAGAGAGATTTTATACTATCTATTTCTTATACTTTTTGATGTTGAAAACCATATGAGAACGATCTATTCCAAAAACACGTATACACACACACACACACACACACACACACACACACACACACACACACACACACACAGTTTTTCTCTGTAAATCAGTGAGTAGAACTGGTTCATAGGCAAAGGGCCACCACAAATCATGCTGTAAACAATTTAATAACCCAAAAACACACCACAGATTTCCTTAAGTTATTGATGTTTACTTCTATCAAACACATCACAGTTGTACCCTATCGGGTCCGTCATTTCACTCCCATCTCCCACAGATCTATGAACGCATAAGCCCTAGAACACACACTCTTCTTTGTAGCCTGTTCCAATACTTTATACATAGAGAAATTAATTTTCTAGTCCCACTAAGTTTCCATCCCTGCGGAAATAAAACTGTCATCAAGGATCCCTCTCAAATGCCTAAACAAAATAAAACATAACCCTCCTCCAGTTTAAACAGCATTAAAAAATCTTCACTATTTTTTTATTTCTTTACTTTTGGTACTCTTTTCTGGATACTTCCCTTGCAAACTTTTTTGTTATACCTATGAAATACTGCCTTCTTTAGTAACTCTTTGGTATGTGGTCTCTCTCTACTGCCAGACTATAAGCTCCAGGAGTGAGGGGCTACAGCATTTCCTCTTTGTGCTCCTCACAGGGCCCTTTAGGCACTAGGCCTGCACAGTGCACCATCCTGTACAAGGCTCAGAGTGCTTCCTGTGTTCTGAACACCAGACCCTACCACAAATTAGATACACTCTGAGATAAGTTTGTTTTATGTTTTTTTTTTTTTTTTTTAAACTCCAGCATGGAAGACTTCTCAGACTGATTCAAAGATCCCTTAGCACATACCTAAGTGGCCCACTACAAAACCTTTTCTTCAAACTGTCTTTTTTCAACTCCCTACTGAAACCGGAACTAGAAAAGAATTCCAAAGAGCCAGACTGGGCATGTTTAGTTAGAAACTGTTTGCTCTACTGCCTGGGCCTGCCCCCAACTATATGAGATGGAAACTGAAACAATACAGAACATTCTGAGTTCAAGTCTTGCTTCTGCCAATGACAGAGTTTTGTGAACACTGGTAAGTAAAAACATGTGGGATCTCATCCCTTATATGTTGAAATGTGTAAAATATCACCTGCTCTGCCTACCTCCCCAAACTGTTTAAGCTGTTTAACATTCACTCAACACCTATGTGTTAAAATATATGCCACCTACTATTAAAGAACTCACTTACATATAGTGGATGCTTCAGACTAAGTAAGTCCTTGCTTTTATGGAGATTTTATATTTGGGGGAGGGGGTAGATAAAAAATAATTATGAAAAAGAGGATAGGAGAAAAAACACCAATGGCACAGAAAGTAACATGGGGTACAGCTACTTCTGACTGGGTAGTCCAAACGGTCTCCCTGAGGAAGTCATGCCTAGGCTAAGATCTAAATGATATGAGTTAACAGACATGTAAATATCTTGGGGCAGAGGAAATAGCAAAGCCCTAAGAGGAAAATGAGCTCAACATGTTCAAGGAGCTGAAAGAAGGCTAGTACAGATGAAGTTTAGAGCAGGAAGAAAACGGTAAGAGGTACGATCATGGGTTGATCTTGCAGGCCTTGGTAAAAAATGTGCCTTGTATTGGCCATGCAGCTACTTAAGGTTTTTAAAAAGCAGAGTCATAATGCAATGAAAATGGCACTCAGGCTCCTCTATGGAGTATGGATCATAAGAAGAGGGAGCAGGAGATCAGCTAGAACACTCCAGTAATCCACCTGAGACCTGAGCATGCTCTGATGCAGATGGGAGTAAGGGAGGGTGTCAGTAAAGACGTAGAGAAGTGGACAAATTTGCAACATATTTTGAAGACAGGATGGATGGGGATTAGATGTAGGAGAATTTTTGGCCCAAGCAACTAGGCAGGTGCTAATGGTCAATTATTGACATGACAAAGAGGAAGAGTAGTTGGGGAGAAGAAAATCACAATTTTGTTCTTTATGAAATCTGAAATGTCTGTTACATTTCCTGAATGGAGATTTCAGGAAGAAAAACAACAGTGATATACTGAGCACCATTTCAGCACGTTACAGGCAATAACACACACTTCACACTAAGTGAGGAAAAGGAAGTAGACAGAGGTGAAATAACTTGATCCCAGTCACAGAAGTCATAATAAGTGACACGAGTTGGGATCTGAACATGGGTGTTTAACTGCACAGTCTATGCTCCTGCCCAACCACAAGCAGCTGAATCATGCCTCTGGGACTCAGGCTGCCAGAAAGTGGGAGCCATCAGCCTCCCCCTGAGCACCTAAGAGGCAGTATAGACAGAGAAGAAAGGCCTATGCCTGAGGAAGCTCTGAAAAAGGAGGGGCAGGGGAAGCTGGTGGAGAATAAATCTATAGAAGAGTTTTGGGAATTATAAGAGCTAAGAAACAGAGCTATAATTAGTCTTTTTGGCTGGTCTTTATTCTTAAACCTCTCTTACATTTTTGGTACTCTCTTTTCACACCTTAATTATGTTCCTACTCTGCAACACTGTTATTCCAAGGACACTGTTAGAATGATGAACCTTTCAATCCTAAACTGTCAGAATACCTGAACTTCATAAAGAACCAACTAGATCCACAATGGAAATGATTCAGACTTCCCTTAAGTCCTAAGATAGTACCCACATGAGCTGCATTTAAGTTTTTCTGAATGATACAAAAACTTGTACATAATTCTCAGCACTAGCTATTCAAATGTCCCCCATATTTTCTATTCTTTATCACTCCCTTGTTTCTAATGCTTCCAGTTATGAGATAAGGATTTAGTGGACTAGACAATGCTAATCCTGACTGCTTTTAAAATTTTATTTTGAATTGAAGCTTTCACTCCAAAATTATAATTAAGGTTATCTCTAACACACACACGTGTAAGCTCTATTCGTTTCCCAAAAGGTAGTCTCTATTAAGATTTCATAGGAACCTAGCAGTCAGTACTTCCATTTATTAACAAAGATTGAAAAGGGCATTATATTTTGGTCAAACTCACAAAAGTGATGATTTGGGGTCATTTTTTAGCCGACAGAAACAGCAACTTCATATCGCTCAGGTGGTTTAGTGCCACGGTTTCTGAAGTTTCGTTTGTCCCTTGTGATTTATTAACAAGAAATATCCATTTGGCTTCCCATTCCTGACACAGAGCTCTGAAAACACTTGGAATTACGTAAGTGATAAAAGCGTAACAGGTTTCTTCCAACCACACCTGAGTTTATGTTAATGAGGTGACTTTTGGTAAGCCCCTGAGGATGCTGGGCTGGTTGGCAGGGAACCAACCATGTGCTTGGAGGATTGGGGCTTTCACTAGCACCCTCTGGGAGGGGAAAAGGGGCTGGAGGTTGAATTAATCATAAATGGCCAATGATTTAATCAATCAAACCTCCATAAAAAGCCTTAATTGAAAGAGTTCAGAGAGCTTCTGGGCTGATGAACATAAACCCTTCATGTATCAATTCCATCTGTTTTTGTTTCTGTGTTGGATACTTTGATAATAAACCTGTTATCTAGTAAGTAAACTGTTTTCCTGGTTCTGTGAACCGCTCTAACAAATTATCAAACTCTAGAAAGGGGTCATGGGAGTTTCTGATTTAGAGCCAGGCAATCAGAAACACAGATGAAAACCTGTACTTGTGATTGGTGTCTCCAGCTGGAGGAGGAGGGGGCAGCCTTATGGGATAGAGCCCTTTAACCTTTAGGGTCTATGCTAACACGGGTTAGTGTCAGAATGGAGTTAGGTCACTGGACACCTAGTTGGTGTCCGCAAAGAATTGGAGAATTGCTTGGTGTGGAAAAACCCACAGATCTGGAATACAGAAAGAAGTGTTCAATGGGTGGTGTGTAGAGGAAACAGTTTTCCTTTAGTTGGTATAGAGTTTTTTTCCTTTTTCCTTTCACCCCTTTCTAAAGGGCCTACCCTGAAGTTAAAACAGTTTGTATACCCCCCAAAAAAGAAAGAGGACTTTAAGTTGAATCAAAAGTAGAGACAAATAAACCTGAGAAAAAGTGATAATTACATTTAGTAACTGTTTATGTGGGCAATTTCACAGCCACAAAATATATTTGGCAAAAAATTTACACGTGTATGTTTTCAGTTGTTTTTATTTTTGCTAACATTCTTTCTTATTTTAACCCTCTATAATTAATGAAATAATGTTCTCTAAACAGAAAGCAATTTTAACAGAAGAGGAAACTTGTTTTATTCTCCAAACATCTTATTAAATTTTGACAAACAATATTTTCAGAACATTTTTCATTCTGTGAAAATTATTCATAGTGAAGCTTTATTTTTTTACAAAATCACAATTCCTGACTCATTTTTATAAATTCCTTTTGGAGCTGATAATTTTTTTTTCTTTTTATTACAGAAACTTTCAAGTATACACAAGACAGTTAATAGTATAAGGAACCCCATGTACCGGACACTCAGCTTCAACAACCATCCCTTCTAGCCAATCTTCCTTCATCAACACTGCCATTTCCTATTTCCATCCCCACCACATTATTCTGATGAAAAGTTAGACAGATCATTTCACCTGTAAATATTTTAGAGGCATGATGAATTTTTTTTTTCATTTAGGCTTGTCTTCCATTTTATCCTTTTTTTAACCAAATTTATCCCTACTCTACATTCACAGTCATGTCGATCAACACAACCAAGGACCTACCTAGATCTATTTGTATTGACATCCTTAAACCGAGAATGAAAACTGCCCATTTATAACATATCATCATCCATGCCATTCATAATTATGTCACTGTAAAACCACATTTACAACCTACACTCTTCTAAAGGACACTAAAGTAGGAAAACTGTCAGATAAAGAGGAATGCTCAGGCTACAACAGTGTCTGTTAGAAAGAAAAACACCTAAATGCCTGATGCACAGAAATCTACAGGGCCCTCTGTAAGGACACTTCTATATCTCTACAGGTACACATCATGCTAATGGTTAAGTTAGGCCATTGTCAAGACCAAACAGTGTCACAGCATTGTTTTCATTACTTCTCTTTATGACTCTCTAACCAGTTATGGATAGGTAAAGAAAACTGTCATAAATAACCTGTAATTCTAATGTTTGGAAAAAGGAGGGAGAAAATAATTTAATGTGCAGACCTAAGCCATATTCCCCCCACCTACTTTGGTAGGTGATAAAACTGACATTTCAATTCCTAGCTATCTCCCCGCCAAATCCATCTCTCCATTGGTTAAGAACCTAAACAGGGAAAAACAGACCACAAAAATCATAAAGTTCAAAAGAGGGTAAAATGAAATGAAAATAAAATTAAATAAAAATCCAGGTTCCTCAGAAATAAATTCATTTAAAAAGCAAATTAAAGGAAGTCTACCATGGTAAACTTCATTTTTGGTACAGAACTTTATTTACTGATTTCCAAAATCATGATAAATCACAAACCTATTAATACTACTCTCAACTCTTTTTCGTCTTTCAGCTGCAGTAAGTGGATCACTCCCCTCTCCTTGAAATGTTTTTTCTTGGTTTCTAACACAAACACCTCTCCTCACTCTCCCGCAAGTGCTCTCATCTATTCTTATAGCTTAAAAGGCCATTTTTACATTGAGGATTAATTTATACCTCCCTCACACAGTAGGTTTATACCTACTCGACTACCTGACCTGTGCATGCCAACTCAAACATGGCCAGAATAAAATATCTCATCTTCCTACACCTATTTCCAAACTATTCCATTGCCAGTCTTGCAAACAGCAATAAATGGTACCATCACTCAGATAGCTATCCAAGGCAAAATTTTACATACTCCTTTTTTCTCTACCACCATCTTCCATGTAGTCTACTATTTTTCTACCTTCAAACAACTCTGTCCACACCAACACTGATTTTCCCTTTGAGTATAAGAAAAGTCTTGTATAATCAATCTTCTACATTCTAGCCAATGAGCTACCCTGAAACTTATTTCTGGTCTTGAAAAAACCAAGCTCTTTTCAGCCCAAATAAAGGCTTTTGCATTTGCTGTCCTTCTGTATAGAAAATGCCAACAATTTAATATAATTAATAAATTCACAACTATAATAAATTCATGTTTTCTTTGACCTGCCCCTTCTTTTCATATGTCCATGAAGGCAGCTAACAGCACCTGGTACAAGATAGGGGCTTTAACCTGCCTCCATAAAAAAGTTGAATAAATCTATTGAATATATTACTGCCTATTTAATTCTTCATAATTATATAGTCCATTAAATTCTAAGCATAAAGAGTTGAACAATCTAAGTCACACTTCAATCGGAAAGGACCAACGATTACTTACGGAGTCCTACAGAATCTGGTTTGCCATTGTCATTCTTACTTGGTTGTACAAGTGGAGCAAATGAAACAGCAAGGATGTTTTTACTTTCCCAAGTGTTTTGTCCAGTTCGCATAATTTGTGTTAACTATTTAGAGAGAAAAACAGAAACAGAATAGCTTAATCCTGGAAATGTGATCGCCTTACAGTCACAATTTTGTTTTAATGGAATAAATGCCAGTGGTTGCTATAATCACTTGTATTTGAATGCAACCAAATTACTTTCAATTAAATACTTACCATAAAATAATAGAGAAGGAATGACAAATATTTGCAGCTCAAGAAAGATTAGTCCATGTAAATAAAAATCCAAATATGGTCAAGTGACTCATCATGTTATATTTGGGCTCTGATAGCTTCTAGGGGTCTTATTCCAACCCATACCTGCCTGTGGCTCCCAAAATATATGTCTCACATAGACTCAGCTGATGGTTAAAGCACGATATTAATAAAACCATGTCCTCATTACTGTACCAAAGAGTCAACTTCATGGTCTTCCATGAAGGTAATAAAATGCAGATTCTAATTCCAATCCCAAATCAGTATTTCACAAATAAATGTAATTAGTCACAAGAGGATTAGAAGTTTTACCTACCTGGCAAAAACCCATCCCCGGTCCTTGGAAAAAAATATTAGCTCAGTACGTGGTTCGATCAAGTTGAATTAATATCTCCAATTTCTATTATAAAAATCAGTGCATTATATTTGACATTAGTAGAATAGTATATAATTAATATTTAATAAAACACCACTGGGAAGCCATATCTTAAATGTTTGAAAATGTATCATTAACAGAAAACAGAAGATTGCTCATGTGGGAGTCTCAACTGTGGAAGCATTCAAGTAACATTTTTCTAGGAATGTTTTGTAATGAATGTTTTTATATTATGTCTTTTTAATAACTGACAAACAACTTGCCACAGAGCACAGTGCATGGTAATGGTGAAATCTACTGAGCCGCAAATAACATGCTGTGATGTTAAGGGACCCCTTAGGATTATAAACTCTGAAATGATCAGACAAGGTCCCAGTTGTCTTAAACAATTTATCTTCTACTGTATAAAACACAAGGCATTTTAAACATCTCAAACTTAGGTTAATATGAATACTAAAGATTTTTTTGAAATGCATTTTTAAAGTAATTTCCTTTTAAAAGACCCACCCATTTTCTGAATACCTCAGTATTTCATATATTTATTATACCTAGTAATTCTAAACCAGGGCAGGCAAATTGCTGAAAAATATTTTCAAATGAGTCTATGTAGTACTAAATGAAGATTTAAATCTTTTTTTTTTAAAGATTTTATTTATTTATTTGACAGAGAGAGAATGAGATAGAAAGCACAAGAGGCAAGAGGGTCAGAGGGAGAAGCAGACTCCCTGCTGAGCAAGGAGGCCGATGTGGGACTCGATCCCGGGACTCCAGGATCATGACCTGAGCCGAAGGCAGTTGCTTAACCAACTGAGCCACCCAGGCGCCCCCTAAATGAAGATTTAAACATTTATTTTTCCTTTAATAGATTTAAGCAGTCCAAACCAAATCCCAAATAGATTTTCTTTTTTATACGTTCAAAGAATTAAAAAATGTTAGAAATTGAGGGCGGAGGAGTAGGAGACCTGGATTTCATCTGGTCCCAGGAATTCAGCTGGATAGGGATCAAACCATTCTGAACACCTACAAACTCAACAGGAGATTGAAGAAAAGAATAGCAACAACTCTCTGAACAGAAAAGCGACCACTTACTGGAAGGTAGGACGTGCGGAGAAGTGAATCTGAGGGGATATTCGGGAGGATAGACGATGGGGGAGGGGGACTCCAGCGGCCGCTTCTGGCAAGTGACAGAGCAGTGGAGCACAAAATCGGAACTTTTAGAAGGCGGGTCTGCTGAGTGACTCGCTCCAGTGGCTAAGTGGGGGGTGGAACACTCGCGGGACAGTGTGGTCTCAGGACCCTCGGGGTCACAGAAAGACCAAGGGTGCCTGAGTGCAGCAGCGCTCCTGGGTATCAGAGCGGGGAAGCCCACTGCAGAGAGAGAGCCGAGGCGCGGGCTCTCAGCTCACAGTTGCCATAAACTGTGATCCGCGGCACAGTCGGGCCACTGCTCCTCCAGCAGGGACCCAACAAGCGGCAGATCCAGGGAGACTCCCCTTCCTCCCCAGGGAGGAGCGGCGCGGGAGCACATTGCAGGGATCTGCTGGCTTTAGAGACTCCACACCAAGTCGGGTGCCAGAGATAGAAACACTCAGTCACAGGCCAGGTGAGCACGGAGTGCGGCCACAGACGGGGAGACGGGAGTGATGGACTGCTTTTCTCTTGGGATTCACTGAGGAGCGGGGCCGAGTTCTCGGCTCCTCCAAGGCAGAGATTGGGAGGCCGCCATTTTCACTCTCGTCCTCCAAAGCTGTAGGGAAAGCTTGCAAGGAACAAAAGCTCCCAAGAGCAAACCCTAGCAGATTACTGAGCCCAGAGGACAAAGGCGGGGCAATTCCGCCTCCGGCAAAGACATTTGGGAACCGGAGCAACAGCCCCTCCACCACAGGATCAGCAAGAAAAACCAGCCAAGACCAAGTTTATCCATCAATGAGAACAGCAGAACTCCACTGCTAGGGGAATACCGAACATAGAATTCATGGCTTTTCTACCATGATTCTTTGGTCTTTCAACTTAATTTTTTTAACTGTTTTTTTTTTTATTTTTCTTTTTCCCTTTTTCAACCAAGATCTTATCAATCCCTTTTTTTAAAAAAACATTTTTATTTTTCATTTTTAGAGTCATATTCTATCCCTTCATACGAGTTACCCTTATTTTAGGCATATATATATATATAAGTTGTTCTCTCATTAAAATTTTGAGATACAGTTTCTTCTAACATATCAAAATATACCCTAAATCTCTAGTGTATGGCTTTGTTCTAGTCTCCTGCCTGATCACATTCTCTCCCCCCCTTTTTTTAAATCCTCTTCTTTTTTCAAACAACTTATCTTATCAATTCCTTTTATAAAATTTTTTATAATTTTCATCTTTACAGTCATATTCCATCCCTTCATCGTATCAACCCTTATTTTGTATATATATATAAGTCTTTCTTTCTTTAAAATTTTGGAGGCACGTTCTTCTAACAGATCAAAATACACCCAAAATCTAGTGTGTGGCACTGATCTCTGCACCAGCCTGATCATATCTGATCATGTTCTGTTTTTGTTTTGTTCTGTTTTTGTTTGCTTTTATCTTTTTCTTTTACTTTTTTCTTTCTTTCCCTTTCTTTTCCCCTGGTTTCAGGTCTTTTCTGATTTGTTTGGAGTATATTTTCTGGGGATGTTGTTACCCTGTTAGCATTTTGTTCTCTCATTCATCTATTCTCCTCTGGACAAAATGACAAGAGGAAAAAAATCACCTCAAGAAAAAGAACAAGAGATAGTACCATCTGCCAGGGACCTACTCAATACGGACGTTAGTACGATGTCAGACCTAGAGTTCAGAATCATGATTTTAAAGATACTAGCTGGGCTTGAAAAAAGCATGGAAGTTATCAGAGAAACCCTTTCTGGAGAAATAAAAGAACTAAAATCTAACCAAATTAAAATCAAAAAGGCTATTAATGAGGTGCAATCAAAAATGGGGGCACTAACTGCTAGGATAAATGAGGCAGAAGAGAGGATCAGTGATACAGAACACCAAATGATGGACAATCAAAAAGCTGAGAAAAAGAGAGATAAACAACTACTGGATCACGAGGGCAGAATTCGAGAGATAAGCGATACCATAAGATGAAACAACATTAGACTAAGTGGGATCCCAGAAGAAGAAGAAAGAGAGAGAGGGGCAGAAGGTATATTGGAGCAAATTATAACAGAGAACTTCCCTAACAGGGGGAAGGAAACAGGCATCAAAATCCAGGAGGCACAGAGAACCCCTCTCAAAATCAATAAAAATAGGTCAACACCCCGACACCTAATAGTAAAACTTACAAGTCTCAGAGACAAAGAAAAAATCCTGAAAGCAGCTTGGGAGAAGAGATATGTAACCTATAATGGTAGAAACATTAGGCAACCAATCTATCCACAGAGACCTGGCAGGCCAGAAAGGACTGGCATGATATATTCAGAGAACTAAACGTGAAAAATATGCAGCCAAGAATACTATATCCAGCTAGGCTGTCATTAAAAATAAAAGGAGAGATAAAAAGCTTGCAGGACAAACAAAAACTAAAGGAATTTGCAAACACGAAACCAGCCCTCCAAGAAATATTGAAAGGGGTCCTCTAAGCAAAGAGAGAGCCTAAAAGTAGCATAGACCAGAAAGGAACACAGACAATATACAGTAACAGTCATCTTACAGGCAATACAATGGCACTAAATTCATACCTTTCAATAGTTACCCTGAATATAAATGGGCTAAATGCCCCAATCAAAAGACACAGGCTATCGGATTGTATTAAAAAGCAAGACCCATCAATATGCTGTCTGCAAGAGACTCATTTTAGACCCAAAGACAGCCCCAGATTGAAAGTGAGGGGGTGGAAAACCATTTACCATGCTAATGGACACCAAAAGAAAGCTGGGGTGGCAACCCTTATATCAGACAAATTGGATTTTAAAACAAAGACTGTAAAAAGAGATGAGGAAGGACACTATATCCTACTTACAGGGTCAATCCAACAAGAAGATCTAACAATTGTAAATATCTATGCCCCTAACATGGGAGCAGCCAATTATAGAAGACAATTAATAACAAAAGCAAAGAAACACATTGACAACAATACAATACTAGTGGGGGACTTTAACACCCCCCTGACTGAAATGGACAGATCATCTAAGCAAAAGATCAGCAAGGAAATAAAGACTTTAAATGACATACTGGACCAAATTGACTTCACGGACATATTCAGAACATTCCACCCCAAAGCAACAGAATACACATTCTTCGCTAATGCCCATGGAACATTCTCCAGAAGAGATCACATCCTAGGTCACAAATCAGGTTCAACCAGTACCAAAAGATTGGGATTATTCCCTGCATATTTTCAGACCACAATGCTTTGAAACTAGAACTCAATCACAAGAGGAAAGTCGGAAAGAACTCAAATACATGGAGGCAAAAGAGCATCCTACTAAAGAATGAATGGGTCAACCAGGAAATCAAAGAATAATTTAAAAAATTCATGGAAACCAATGAAAATGAAAACACAACTGTTCCAAATCTTTGGGATACAGCAAAGGCAGTCCTGAGAGGAAAGTATATAGCAATACAAGCCTTTCTCAAGAAACAAGAAAGGTCTCAAATACAGAACCTAACCCTACACCTAAAGGAGCTAGAGAAAAAACAGCAAATACAGCCTAAACCCAGCAGGAGAAGAGAAATAATAAAGATAAGAGCAGAAATCAATGAAATAGAAACCAAAAGAACAGTAGAACAGATCAACGAAACTAGGAGCTGGTTCTTTGAAAGAATTAACAAGATTGATAAACCCCTGGCCAGACTTATCAAAAAGAAAAGAGAAATGACCCAAATCAACAAAACCATGAATGAAGGAGGAGAGATCACAACCAACACCAAAGAAATGCAAACATATTATGAGCAGCTATATGCCAGCAAATTAAATAACCTGGAAGAAATGGATGCATTCCTAGAGATGTATCAACTACCAAAACTGAACCAGGAAAAAATAGAAAACCTGAACAGACATATAACCACTAAGGAAATTAAAGCAGTCATCAAAAATCTCCCAAGAAACAAAAGCCCAGGGCCAAATGGCTTCCCAGGGGAATTCTACCAAACATTTAAAGAAGAATTAATACCTATTCTCCTGAAACTGTTCCAAAAAATAGAAATGGAAGGAAAACTTCCAAACTCGTTTTATGAGGCTACCATTACCTTGATCCCCAAACCAGACAAAGACCCCATCAAAAAGGAGAATTACAGACCAATATCCCTGATGAACATGGATGCCAAAATTCTCACCAAAATACTAGCCAATAGGATCCAACAGTACACTAAAAGGATTATTCACCACGACCAAGTGGGAATTATCCCTGGGCTCCAAGGTTGGTTCAACATCTGCAAATTAATCAACGTGATACAATACATTAACAAAAGAAAGAACAAGAATCATATGATCCTCTCAACAGATGTACAAAAAGCATTTGACAAAGTACAGCATCCTTTCTTGATCAAAACTCTTCAGAGTATAGGGATAGAGGGTACATACCTCAATATCATAAAAGCCATCTATGAAAAACCCACAACGAATATCATTCTCAATGGGGAGAAACTGAGAGCTTTCCCCCTAAGGTCAGGAACGCAGCAGGGATGTCCACCATCACCACTGCTATTCAACATAGTATTAGAGGTCCTAGCCACAGCAATCAGACAACAAAAAGAAATCAAAGGCATCCAAATCAGCAAAGAAGAAGTCAAACTCTCACTGTTTGCAGATGATATGATACTCTATGTGGAAAACCCAAAGGACTCCACCCCAAAACTGCTAGAACTCATACAGGAATTCAGTAAAGTGGCAGGATATAAAATCAATGCACAGAAATAAGTGGCATTCCTATACACTAACAAGACAGAAGAGAGAGAAATTGGGGTGTCAATCCCATTTACAATTGCACCCATAACCAAAAGATACCTAGGAATAACTCTAACCAAAGAGGCAAAGGATCTGTACTCAGAAAACTATAAAATACTCATAAAAGAAATTGAGGAAGACACAAAGAAATGGAAAAATGTTCCATGCTCATGGATTGGAAGAACAAATATTGTGAAGATGTCAATGCTACCTAGAGCAATCTACACATTCAATGCAATCCCCATCAAAATACCATCCACTTTTTTCAAAGAAATACAACAAATAATCCTAAAATTTGTATGGAACCAGAAAAGACCCCGAATAGCCAGAGGAATGTTGAAGAAGAAAAGCAAAGCTGGTGGCATCACAATTCCGGACTTCCAGCTCTATTACAAAGCTGTCATCATCAAGACAGTATGGTACTGGCACAAAAACAGACACATAGATCAATGGAACAGAATCGAGAGCCCAGAAATGGACCCTCAACTCTATGGTCAACTAATCTTTGACAAAGCAGGAAAGAATGTCCAATGGAAAAAAGACAGTCTCTTCAACAAATGGTGTTGGGAAAACTGGACATCCACATGCAGAAGAATGGAACTGGACCATTTCCTTATACCACACACAAAAATAGACTCAAAATGGTTGAAAGACCTAAACGTGAGACAGGAGTCCATCAAAATCCTAAAGGAAAACACAGGCAGCAACCTCTACGACCTCAGCCTCAGCAACTTCTTCCTAGAAACATCGCCAAAGGCAAGGGAAGCAAGGGCCAAAATGAACTATTGGGATTTCATCAAGATAAAAAGCTTTTGCAAAGCAAAAGAAACAGTCAACAAAACCAAAAGACAACCGACAGAATGGGAGAAGATATTTTGAAACGACATATCAGATATAGGGCTGGTATCCAAAATCTATAAAGAACTTATCAAATTCAACACCCAAAGAACAAATAATCCAATCAAGAAATAGGCAGAAGACATGAACAGACATTGTTTCCGAAGAAGACATCCAAATGGCCAACAGACACATGAAAAAGTGCTCAACATCACTCGGCATCAGGGAAATCCAAATGAAAACCTCAATGAGATGCCACCTCACACCAGTCAGAATGGCTAAAATTAACAAGTCAGGAAATGACAGGCGTTGGTGGGGATGCGGAGAAAGGGGAACCCTCCTACACTGTTGGGAATGCAAGTTGGTGCAGCCACTCCGGAAAACAGTATGGAGGTTCCTCAAACAGTTAAAAATAGAGCTACCGTACAATCCAGCAATTGCATTACTGGGTATTTACCCCAAAGATACAAATGTAGGGAATCAAAGGGGTATGTGCACCTCGATGTTTACAGCAGCAATGTCCACAATAGCCAAACTGTGGAAAGAGCCAAGATGTCCATCGACAGATGAATGGATAAAGAAGAGGTGGTATATATATACAATGGAATATTATGCAGCCATCAAAAGGAATGAGATCTTGCTATTTGCAACAACATGGATGGAACTGGAGGGTGTTATGCTGAGTGAAATAAGTCAATCAGAGAAAGACATGTATCATATGACCTCACTGATATGAGGAATTCTTAATCTCAGGAAACAAACTGAGGGTTGCTGGAGTGGGGAGGCGGGGGAAGGATGGGTGGCTGGGTGATAGACACTGGGGAGGGTATGTGCTATGGTGAGCGCTGTGAATTGTGCAAGACTGTTGAATCACAGATCTGTACCTCTGAAACAAATAATGCAATATATGTTAAGGAAAAAAAAAGAAGATGATAGCAGGAGGGGAAGAATGAAGGGGGGTAAATCAGAGGGGGAGATGAACCATGAGAGACGATGGACTCTGAAAAACAAACTGAGGGTTCTAGAGGGGAGGGGGGTGGGGGGATGGGTTAGCCTGTAGTGGGTATTAAAGAGGGCATGTTCTGTGTGGAGTACTGGGTATTATGCACAAACAATGAATCATGGAACACTACATCAAAAACTAATGATGTAATGTATGGTGATTAATATAACAATAAAAAATTAAAGAAAAAAAAAGAATGTTAGAAATTGAGCAGCTAGTAAAGATCATCACATTCAATTAAAAAGCTCCAGGTAAAGAGACTGTATGGTAAGGAAGCAACTTGGCAAACACCACATATGTAGTAGCTACGCTCTGCTGAAAAGACCAAATCTCTTCAAATCTTAGTATAAAGGATTTCTTCTATATATATATATTTTTTTTTGGTTCAATAATTAAGAATCCATTTCAAGTTGTTTTAGGTAGGTAGGTAGATAGATAGATAGACAGATAGATAGATAGATAGATAGATAGATAGATGTTAGATAGGTATATCTATAAAGCGTTTTCTCTAGAAATCACAACGTACTTCTCATTGATTATATTTCCCACCCTCAACTACTGTGTTTAAGCAAAGTACAGAAGTTACCTGATCTTCTATAGGCATGACTAGAATGCCTCCAACTTTCAGTAATATTTTCATGTAGTTTTCATGGTCTTTCTGGACACCAGCTCCACAATAAATTCGATCATACTGGTGACTGTCAGATGCTATCTGGAGGCAATTACCAACCACAAATGCAGGTTCACAGAACTCAAATCTGCACAAAAAAACAAATGTATTTTAATTCATTTAAACAAAAGATTAGGTCTAAAAATTTTAACAAAATTCAGTTCTTTGAAATAGTGAAGTTACCAAAATTAATTTTAGGATAAAATGTCATTATGAAATTTGATTTAAATATCACATTTATGAAGTTTAACTGATCAAATATATTGTTTTACTATAGTGCACATGTTTTCAAAACATTAACCTATTTTTTGCCAGGCTGAACCCTCACTTAGGGCTTAAAAAAATGAACATAATGAAAAGCCCTTCATGATACCAATTTTGTGATACCCCACAAATGATATATACTAAGGATGAGAATCACAAGGGTCAAGCAAACAAGAAAAGGTTCACCTTCCACTGCCCTTTCCAAAAAAAGCTGATGGGCCAGTGGCAATGGGAAGGGCTCATGCAGTATTCATCTCTGTTTGATATTTTTGTTATGGCTAACAGCAGAAAGCTTTGTCAGGAAGACACCAATGTCCTGACCACACACCTTAGCAACCACTAAGATTAGGGAGATTTTCCTAATAGATTTTAGCAGGGCTGTTACAGGATGTAACTGCTGCTTTGGCCCCTGTGATCTCCCTATGCAACAAAAGGAGATGTGGTTTCAAAGCAAAGGCGTCATATCCAGGCTGCTTGCTCCTGGTTACGGTGTTGGTTCATGGTATATAGTTATGCTTTTACAAGCTACCCTATTTAGACTTCTACTTTATTCCTTAAATTTTACACAAATCAGAAAATAGTTTCTAACATATAACACTAATTAAAACCCCAATGCCCTAATAAAACATATAATCTTTTAAAAAACTAATTCACGAAATACCCTTTTACATCTAAGTTGATTAAAGTTAATATGACCACACAGCAAAATCAGGCTATTATTTGAGGATGAAATAATTTATGTTAAAAGTTTCGGCATGCAGTGAAAAATGACACTGATTAAATCATAATCATTTCTACTTTGTAAAACATATCCTGTCCTTTAGTAATTAACAGATTTATTACATAACAAGTTTCCATTAAAATTCACTAAAACACAACACATTATCTTCATTAATATTTAAGGAAAAGTTTACCAGAATTATGTCCTGTCTTCAGTATCCTGTCTTCTTAGTGGAGGGGCCACGGGTAGGGTGGGAAGGGTTGAGGGGTTGGGGTGGGGTGAATCATCAGTGTATACTCTCTTTTCAACACCCCACACTAAGGTAGTCCATGTCCCATTATTTCTTTCACTGTAACTGTCTCCTTGCTGCTCACACTTTTCAGGACTCTCTTCCATTATTTTGCTCCCTACTGCAAAGGACAGGGTGAAGCTCCCTTAGAGTACCACATGGGGTTCTTTATGACCCTACCATCAAGTTGTTCTGCCAGATTCATTTCCTGGTTCTGCCTCCCCCACACCACCCCCCATACTATGCTGTAGCCAGACTGAATTACAGTTGACCCTTGAACAAGGCAGAGGTTAGGGGTGCTGACCTCCTCCCTGGAACATCTGAGTATAACTTACAATTCCCCAAAAACTTAACTAATAATAACCTACTGTTGACTGGAAGCCTTACTGATAAACAGTTGATTAACACATAGTTTGTATGTTACATGTATTATATACTGTATTCTTACAATAAAGTAAGCTAAAGAAAATAAGAGAAAATATATTTATAGTACTGTACCATAAAAAAATTTGCATTTAAGCTGTCCCGCACAGTTTAAACCCATGTTGTTCAAGGGTCAACTGTGTCTGTTTCTAGTTGCTTAGTGGAACTATTCCAAAATGTTTTGAAACCCTGTATCTATGTACATGCTGTTCCTTTGACTGAAATACCCTTCCCTCTCTTCCCTTGATAAATGCCTACTATCCCTTCAAGATACAGTTCAAATATCAGTTTTAGTAATGAAATCTTACCCAACTCTATTTTAACAGTATCTCATTCTTTCTACTTGCATAGTACACAGGAAGTGTAAACTTACCTAAGGTGGGGATCATGCTTAAATTCCTTTTAAACTCAAGACTATGGTACAACCTATGATTGTCTAAAATATGGCCAAAATATAATTTCTTGACTTTTAACTAATAAGATAATGTGAATCATGGTTTAATCATTCTATCAAAGTCACAGTAAGCATTCTTTAAAATGAAAAAGTTAGACTGTTTTCAATTAAGTCTATCTAAAAATGTTTATTCTTATAAAAATTCATCTTAAATAATTTAATTTTATGATAATTTAAGTCAGTCTTATTTTCAGGATGAATATGAGCAGGGAATTTTTATTTTAAAAATTAAATTATTAAAACCTCTTTTATCAAGTCTGTTAAATCAACTCAAAAATACACTTACAGATTTAAAAGCTTTCTACTTGTTAAAAATAAATGATAGCTTACAGAACTACTACCTAGGACAACACCACTGCAAGTAAACAACTTACAGTTAAAACCATTTCTCAGATTAGTGGTATTTTATATGTCCTCATCCCAGCAAAATTAATTAGAAAGAATTTAGTGCCTGATTTTAAAATCAGATGTGTGATTCTGGTCAAATTTCCTTATACTACTCATAAGCACAGTTCACTAAGCGAAATATTATTTACTGAGCACCAGTTGTGTATAAAGATTGAAAACACAATGGGAAACACTCATGCCTACATCTAGTGGAAGAGATGAGCATCAAAGAATCGCAGTAATAAAGATTTACAACCATGATAAATGCTCTAAAGGAAAGGAATAGGAGTCCATTAAGACTGAGGGTGAACGAAAATGAACAGACCTAGGGAATCAGAGAATGGTTCCCTGAGAAATGTCAAGATCTGAAAGATGAGACAGGACAATCTAGAGACACAGGGTAGCCAAGATGGTAGTCACTAGCCACATGTGGATATTGAGCCTTTAAAATGCAGCTAGTCCAAATCAAAATGTACTGTAAGGATAAAATTCACATGGGATTTCAAAGATTTAGTCCAAAATAAATATAAAATAGCTCAATATTTCTTTTATATTTATGTGTTTAGGAGTGGGTGAGGGTGAGTGTGTGTGTATTTCAACAGCCACACAAACTGAAGATACTAAAGAAATACCCTTCTACTTATCACCTATAACTAAGAGCTACAAATACTTTCTCCTTAACACAATCTTCCCTTTGAAACATTCTCCTGGTTTTCCTGCTATGTCTGTGATTATTTCTTCTGAATTTTAAATGTATCTCCATTACCTATTACAGTCCTCAAAATACATTTACTGAGTGAACCACATAAAAAACTTTTTTGTCAACTTTTCCACCTGTCCACTTTGAACATGAACCCCAAAAAACCTCAAGACTAGAAGAGAAACTTGCCCAGAAAGTTACAGAAAAAAATATGTGATTATGACACTTTCTATATCAATATGATGGTCCCTTGTTTTACTAAATTAATCACTATAAAAAGCCATAACTTCATGCTACAGAATACAGTTTTTCTCAAAATGCAAAAAAAAAAAAAAAAAGCAAAACAAATAATTTAAAAAAATCTTTGTCTTTAATGAATAAATCAACTGCCCTATAACTGAAAGGCACTTTTTTGGGCCTTTCTGAAGATCTTAAATAAGCCACCATAATTTTAGGAAACAACTTAATGCTTTCTTCCCCAGTAATGCAGATCAAAACAAGTATATTTGCTTCCACTTAGGGAGTAATACAAAGGATCATTATACGGAAAATCAGATCTCTAAATCTATCAATTTCTACTAATGCAAATGGAACATATATTTCTAACAAATACATATGGGATCTTTACACTTTCATTTAACATAGTCAAATTAATCTCCTTTAATAGAATACTCAAATCTGAAAAGTTAATCAAACTTGAGATGTTCCAAAGGATTAGACTATTTCTAGATACAAAATAGTAAAACTTCAAGGACATAAGTAACATTGGGGAGAACACTGTATATTTTTAAATGTTGGCACTTAAATATGTAGAACATAGAAAATTCACAGAAAAACTGTAACACTACCAATTTAGTGGTTATTAAGAAAAGCATCTACCAGAGATACTGTCCTATCTGGTGATTCCTTATTGTAACTATGGCTTGATCTTTTCTACCAGTAATACATGAATCCTTCACATCAGTAAAGAATACAAAACAATTCTCAAATTGCATATTATATATATATATATATGTTTTATATATATGTGTGTATACACACACACACAAACATATATATATATGTGTATATATATATATATAAATGGGTAATGGATTATTTTTCCTGATAAAGGACTTAGAGATGAGCTTTAGTATTTCTAACTAAGTACATAGTTGAGGATCTTACTTAGACATTTTGTATTCTAATATTAAAACTATGGCTTATTTTATTAATAGCATTTCACATAAATAAACCCATACCAATTCCAGGGCTAACAATATTGTTTGAGAAAGTCTATGATTAAAAATGTTTAGGCCAATGTTTATGGATATGCTCCTACCATGTCAGATCACGCTCATGCCAATATTTACAAGAACTAAACAACTGAATGATGGCCACCATGTTACCAAAGTAAATTACAACTCCTATTCAGTCTTCCAATGTAGACAGGAAAATAAAGAAAACATTTTCTTCCGTAGGCTTTTACTATCTTCTGAAAGCTGCATCTCACCTAGGTTTCCACAAACCTCTACAGAGGCAAAGGACATATTTTAAACCACAAATACAACCTGTGTATAATCTGGAAGACTTCAGCAATAAACTAACCAGAAGTTTTCAGTTTATCACAAAATAGCACTACACTATTTATAGATCTATACATAAAATCTAGATTAAAAATAGTGAAAAGGAAAATCCAAATTCCATTTTTTCACATCAACCACATTATATACAAAACCTGAGGGGAGGGTGGGGAAGGCAACAGGTATACCAAAATGGCATTTCCTATGTGGTTATTATTTTATTCAAAGAAGTATGATTCACATGTGCTTGACCTAATTTTTATTCTTAATTTAGGAAAGTTCATTAAA